TAGGATTTTAGGTTGTATCTACAGAAATATTGAAGACAAGTCTAAAGAGGTTAAAATTTCATTTTATAGGTCATTGGTTAGGCCACATTTGGAGTATTGTGTTTAGTATTTGGCTCCTTACCTTTGGAAGGACATTAAATTGTTGGAAAGGGTTCAGAGAAAGGTTACTAGAATGGTGCCTGGGATGGAGGGGTTGTCATATGAGGAGAGATTAAGATCACTGAAATTTTTTTCTCTTGAGAAAAAAAAAAAGAGTTGGAGGGGGGGGGTCTGATTGAGGTGTTTAAGATTGTAAAGGGAATTGATAGTGTTGATGCATGTTTTTTTCATATTTAACAATGACAATAGTAGGACCAGGGGACACAAATGTAAATTTTGGCAGGGTAGGAGTCATATTCAGCTAAGAAAGTTGTACTTTTCTAACATGGTGGTTGGCCTCACAAATGGGTTGCCTTCAGATGTTGTAGAGTCAGTAAATTTAAGTGAATTTAAGGGAAATCTTGATAACTAAATGAATGATAAGGGCTGGCTTTAAGATTTTTTTAAATTTATTTATTTAATAGTGTTAGTTTAGTTTAGAGAATGGGACAGTCGAGATGGATCAATAGGTCCTTGTTGTCCCTGAACATTATGTTATGTTATAGTCAAAAGTAGCTCAGAAACAAACTCACCAAATGCCCTTCTTCATCGCATGTTTCTAAAGTAAAAAAAAAATCAGGTTATTTATTATACAAACTTAAATAAATTTAAGAATTCTTAATTAAAAATAATGATAGCAGCAACTCAAACACATTTATTAGATGTTTTAGAATTATACAGGTTAAATCTACAAAGTTAGTTCAGTTAAATCTATATAATCCACATTAATACACATATTTTGTGCTGTTACTGTTCTGGACTTAATTAACTATCTTGTGACTCCACAGATAACCAAGATAAGACTGCCACGTGAAGCAATAAGAAGTTTAAGATTTGTTTGTTTCTTTAAGTTCAAAGCTACACAAAGAGTTTTTGCACTCTATAAACCAGGGTACTGAGTTTAATATACATGAATAATGAATACCATGCATATATTACAAATGTCATATATTTTAATTTTGGTGAAAATAACATCGAAAAAATTAACATTATATTTTTCCTTAGCCTATAAATTACTTTCTAAAAAATGAAAATAAAGTTAGAACATATTTTATAGTCAAATGAAAAATTTAATGATATTTAACAATTATTATTTATTTTTTTTACACAAAAAGCAATATTTTGTAAGGATGTCATAACAAACTTGATACTTTGCTAAGATTACCAAACATATTTCAAACAGCATACCACATTGAGCTGCAGGAATACACTGATCTCCACGTAATGCTTTTCCTTCTGGGCAGAAACAACCATCCACCTTAATCTCATGACAATCCATTCCCATGGTAGTATTACCACAAGTTTCTGGACAAGCATCATGACACTGAAAGTATTCCATACCATCTGGACAGGTTACATCTAGAGAAAAAACATCCACAAAACAAGCTTGATTTACATGTAGGTTCTTCAAACACTAACAGGTGTTGTAATGGTGTAAGCACACCACATTAATATAAAATTAACAAAACAGGTAAGCAAAGTACTAAAACATTTTTCCCTAAACATTCTTTCTATTAATAACTTAACTGACAAGAATAATGCAAAAGCATGCTATCAGATATAAATGTTTAAGAAACATGATGAAGATTCTTTGGAAAAAACAAAAATATCATAATTGTTGTCACATACTTGTACTTAAATTTTTTATTTTGAGATATTACCACAACATAGTGACATTTGTTTGTTCCAACTTAATAAAAGAGTTAGTTTTACCTTGTGTTTGAAAGGTTACTTTCTATGATTAGATCTATCAAATGTGATGATGCCATATCTATAAGCAGTGCAAGTTCCCTTTTCTCATTATTACAATTAAGTTATTTGTAATTGGGGTATTTAAGTGTGGCATCTGACAATAAGAGAGTATATCAAATTATACTCCACTTATTCATTAATTGAATATGCATGGGATTGGTCTATTGTAGGAGGAATATTAACTATAATTCTGAAATCATTATGTGTATCTACACAAAGTGTGGCAAGCTTTAAGAAAAAATGTACAGGTCTGTTGTACACAAAATATCTCTGTAAATTGCTGATTTCAGTCTGACACTGACAAGTCAGAGTGAAAGGTAGTGTTCATGTGAAGAATAAAAATACTTTTGTCCATTCTACAGTTTGTATATAACATTTACATAGCCTCTAGAATCTCCAAAATACACATCTACAGTTTTTTTTTCAGTATCCCTGTATATTGTATCTGGTAATTAGTCTCTTTGATCATCAACTGTCATCAAATCAGTAAAATGAATAATCACTTGATGATTTGATGTGGAGAACTGATGAGTAAAAATCTTACTAAATTCAAATAGAAATAAGTCAATGAAAGTGTTTTTTTTAAATGTATGTCTAATTCACAATAACATTAAATTTAAATTAAGTTGCTAACAAGATGTGGGAAAAAATATAAAAATTCTATTAATTTTCTGTACAGCTGTTTATATAACTTTTTTTTTGTAATATAAATGATGTAAATTGGTCCATATTACTGAAGTACTAAATACTTTTAAGTTATAAACCTAAAACAATATTATAAATATAGAATAATAACATGAACATCTTAAAGTTGTATGTAACAATGTGTTATAGTATATTGATTGATCTCAAAATACACATTTTACGGAAGGTTAGCATATCTTTTATAATTATATAATTCAAAATAAATATACATACAATAATCATCTCTTTGAACATTTTACTAAAACAAAATACAACTTTTAGATGAGTTTTCTAACATTCCAAAAACAGATTAAAAAACTCTCCCTCTCTTTTTTCAACTCGAACTAAAACTTTCCTGCTTAAACTAATGTTCTAAGATTGAAATTCTACAAACTTGATTTGACTTTGCCCAAAGAAAATATCTCAGTAGAAAGCTTAAAAGTTATTTATTTAGGTGCATTTTACTAAGATGAAATATATTGTAAACTTCGTGTATCACTATACTGAATAATCACTCAAGACAAGTTGCACTATTTTAATAGTGATATCACAGGAACTTAAACAGTGAATTAAAAAATTCACAATTTAACACAGTAAATCTTTTACTGATATGATATTCTTTTATAAAATTAATGAAAGATAATTCACTTACTGCAGCCATATTTTTCAACCCAATCTTTAATGGTTTCACCTGCCTGGCAGCACTGCCGAGCATATTCCATTATAGCTTTACACACAGAAGTCTTCATGTCACCTCCATGAGAAACATCGTAACGACATGCTTGGTTATACATTTCTGGAGCTACAAGAGGATGACAAGACTGGAACTCTTCATTCCACAGTTCTTTGCAGACAGATGGTGGGACTGTAACATTTGGCTGTAAAAAAAGGGGCTTTGCATGAGACTTTACAACTGCTTAATTTTTTCATCAATTAACTATAATTAAGAAATTAATTATAGAAATTTTACTAAATATATTGATTATATGAATAAAACCATTAAAACACACAATTGGCATAAAATAATAAAAAAAAAAGATAATGCAAACTAATATTAAAACGATAGTATCAGTAACTATATAAATATTTGATGAAATTCCACGTTGCAAAATGTGTTAGGCATTGATATATGCTTATACTGCAATGTCAACAAAACTATAAAACTAGAATCTATTTCTGTAGATTGTGGAAATCCCGTGAGAATATCAGTTGAAATAATTACTAATTTCACCTCGATGTAATTAGTATAGAATACAATATATTCAGGTTTATTCAGTATAATTTTTCTGAATTCCCATGTAATTCTGTACTTAGTTATGACATCTTCATTAATTGAATGTCATAAGGGTGTAAACATGTGCTAATCTTATTACACAAATAGAGGTTACTTGTGACAATGGCTAGAAGCTTCCATTGCTTCAGTTCTGTGTTTGTGGAAAGCCCACATCAAGAGGTGTCACAGATTGGTATAAGCTGGAGGTTTTCCTCTCTTGTATATCCTAAATAACTACTTGCAATAGTTGGTCATGTATGTATCTCTATATTAAGGGATACCACACTTGCACCCTTTGTCTGATTTGATACTGTGTCAGTTTTTGTCCTGTGTGAATATGTTAGGAAATCCTTCTCCAACTCTAACAGATATTGAAGTCACTACAGAACTTAAGAGGTTGGCAAGGTTGGTAAATTAACAAACCTTAATGAGAATAAAGATTTTATATTTGTTTGTTTTCTTTATCTGCCTAGTTCAACTTATTCTTGGCACAAATGTACAGAACACACATTTTACAGATACTTCAGACTTATCTATTAGACATAATATTCGAATACCACAAGACTAACCAATGAAACCCTTTTAAATTTGTGTCCAACTTAATTAATAATGTAAAAATTAAATTCAACACAGGTCATAGTGTTTCCTAAAGACAAGTTTTTAACTTATAATGACTTCTTCACAAACACACTTTTTTATAATTCAACTTGTTGAAATCATGATTAAGCTTTAAATATACAAGATATACTTTTAGCACTTCTTATTCTCTGAAAACATCTATGCTAACTTACCAGTTTTTCAAATGATGTTTTGCATTCCTGTAGGTTTCCTTCATTTAGCCAACTACACACAAAATCTCCAGTGTCACTTACAACTGTTCCATTTTTTGTTTTCATATCATCATCACGCTTGAAATTACAATTACCTTAGGAAGAATTAAAATAAAATTTAACACTGTTCAATTACTCTCATGAGCTCTTTATGTCTATCACACACACAACTGATTAATTATTCTTTATCAATTGACTGTGGCAAATATTTTTTTGCATTAATATATGCTTTTATTGTAAGATGAACAAAACTGTAAAAATAAAACCTGTTTCTATAGATGTTGGAAACCCTAATATATATATATATATTAAACAAAAACCAGATGTTTTTAATAAAATTTAAATTGATAAGTAATTCTACAGTAGAAATCCTTATAGCAAAAGTTTTGTTTATGATAAAAAAATGTTGATCACACTGCTTCATGGAGTGTGGTGGGCATAAACCAAAAACATATTCAAGTATGGCATATAGTACAACAAAATGTTTTTGAATGAATATAGGAGTGACGTAAATTTGTTTATAGATGCAACCTCAGTATGTCAAACAACCATGCCAAAAATAGCTAACATCATACATAAAGGAAATACCAGTAAAATATGGCACAAAAATATACTGTGGAGGAGATACAATGGCTGTCAGATTTAATTTTCATTTGTAAGCTTCACACACGAAAAAAAAAATCAATCACTAAAATGAGGAACAGATACAACTGTTTAAGCCCATAATTTTTCACATCTCTATCAACAGGTGCCATCTGAGCCACATATGTAATGAGTTATTGTTTTATAGAAATATTTAAAAATTACAATTAATTAATAAACTAAGTGTAGAAACGATAAATGCTATTAAACCAGTTGTCAACGACAGGTCATTGGATGTTAATAAATCAAATGTATAAATAATAAATGCTATTAAGGTATTTCTAGCCCATTTGTTTCATTTTTTTCACCCTCTTTTTGAAAAATAGATATTTTCTACTTTAAAATGTCTACTTTCAGTTTCTGCAACACATTTTGTCAAAACACTCTTACATATCCCTCAATCCTGAACTGAAAATTAAAATATTTCCATAGCAACCACTCTAGCAACAGAATTCATGGAAATTAGCAACCTCTTTGGTGGTAATGATCTCAATTTTTGTGACACAAACTCTTAAAAGACTACAACAATGCTGAAATTGTTTGCTAACTTCACTGTAGTGAAGCTAACAAAGCTTCAAGTGAACAGTGTTCAACTCCATGTAATACTTCTATGGCTATAACATTCACTCCTTAATAAACTTTTGCAAGTTAAATCCCTCACTGTAATGTTTTAATATTGCTAAAAAGTTTAAAGAGTTGGATGAATTTGTTGGGAATCAAATTTTACTCCAGGACTCACCACATAATCCATCGACTTTGTCAAAGAACCTTCGAGAAGGTACCATAATTGAGAATCCACCATTCATCTCAAAGTAACGGACCTGGATACTGAGGTCAGGAATGATCACAATAATAGTTTGACCAGGAAATCCAACAACAGTCATTCCACCAGCATTCTTTGGTAGCTCATCCCATGAAAAAGGTTGTCCATCAAGTCTAACCTAAAGCAGTTAACATTAAATACTGAATTTTTTTAGTCTTTGTGATGTAAAAGTAAGTACTTTTTCAAGAAAATTCTAGTTCAATAAAACATTTAGTTATTCTTTTTTTCAAAGATATGAACAATATTATATCATTATGTTATGTTTAAAAGTGAAATGAAAGAATTTTCTACTGTGAAGCTGAAAGACACTGCAATACATGTATCAAACATTCAACACATAAATGTGTAAAAATATAATTGAGAACTTTAAACGTTTAAAATGTATGATGCTCTTAGCATCATAAGAACTGTACATTGGGTTAGAAGTTTAAGCTATCATGATACAAAACTAAATTATTAGTCCTGATGTAAACTAAATATATTTATCAGAATGGTTCCAGTATTTTGATAAAACTTTTCATTAGTCTAATTAAAGTAATTTTAGCTATGCTAATGCTTCTTCCTAAATCTAGATATAGGTTTCATTAAGCTAATAGTTTATCTTGATTATATAAAATATTTTTCATGAATATTTTAATCTTAAGTTACTATAAATGTACTTTTATGCAAGATGGAAACATTGGCATTAAATAAACTAATAAAATCACTCGTACTCTTTCGCCTTTCCGAACAATCACAGTGTGTTTCTTGTAAGTAACACTCAATGCTGTGATACAAGTGACATCAGAATCAATGCTACACATCTCAGTGGTTCCTTCAATTACAAATGTTTTGGCTTTATCAGTAGCAAGAGTAAAAAATCCTGTTGACTGAAAAGGGAAGAACCATCCATCAAATGTCTGGAAGTGAGGATCACCAAATCCTTGACAAATTTCTGTAACAAGTAATAAATAACGTAGAGAATGTTTTACTATTATTTGTATATGTATTAAACTATTTTAAATTTAATTTTTAAAAAGACTACATTCTCTAAAAAAATTGTGTAATTTCTGAAAAGATTATCATATTTAAGATGAGTACTTATTTCTCATCGATATGTATGCATTTACTATACTAATTATTATAAACTATTTTATACATATGTGAATGATAAAGTCAGAAACTATTTTTGGCAAAAATAAAGTTCTAAAATCATTAAGATCAACAAATCTAATTCATGATCCCATGATACGAAGAGTAAAGATAAGGTAACAACTCGACTACTTACGGTCAGAACATTGGTCAAGGGCTTTACAGGTCTCTCCATCTCTGACAGTACCTGGAGGACAGAAGCAGCCAGGGACACACTCTTTTCTACAAACTTCTTGGTCATAGTTCTGATTTTCACAACTTAGATCACAAGAAGGTCCACAGTCATGCCATTCCATACCAGGTGGACAAGTTGGAACTAGAGAAACAATTGAAACTAAACTAAAATACTTTCAAATCATAAATAATAAAAATTTATCAATCTATAGATAATTCTTTCTTTTATAATTTAATTTTCCAAAATAATTAAAAAACAACAACAAATCATTCATGAATTGATACTCAAAATACACTTATCATATGGTCCTTAATTAAACATTAGAGCCAACCCAGACACATAAACTTTGAATAAATGCATGATTCAGATATAAGAAATACAAATATATTGTGATGCATCTAAAAGCAAATGTTATCCCGTATTACCAAATGTTCAAAGAATTAAATAATATTAATTTGAATGTTTGTGTTTTTTTCTATAAAAAATACATAAACAAGGATCTTTACATTGCTCTTAAAGTCATCAAGTCCTAAAAGTTATCAGATTTTGGTTATGATTATTTGTATTTAGGGGTATACTGATTCCCAGAGCCAATGTTTCTAGCATAGCCTACATGTTCAATATTAATTGATTTAATTACCACATCCATGCTTAAGTCTCCACCCTTGTAATGGACGTGCGAGCTTGGTTTCACAGGCTTGAACTAGAGGCAGGTAGGCATCACACTTACAGTCTTCTGTTGATGTGTTCGATTTTTGAAGACACTCACATAAACTGCTTAAACAAGCCTGAACATGTCTCTCAACTGAAACAACTTTCTGGCATTCATCAAATGGTCTCTCCCTGATTGGAAAAATCAAGTTTTCAACATTAGAAGAGAATTACATGTCTCAAAATATATAAAATATCAAATAGAATTTCTCATTACCTCAAATTAAACTTAAACACAAATACACATGTGTGTGTATGTAT